AGCTTGGACGCAACAAGCACCTAGTACTAGTTTAAAAATTTAAAGTTAAAGTTCAAGTTACAGCCCATATACGAACCACTGCTGGGTACAGGTCTCCTCATCAACTCACATTTCTGAGAGGGTTTTACGGCAAGTTAGTGTCCGCCGTGCTGCTACAATGGGTGTTGGCGAACTTACATGTCTTCAAAATGTTTTTTCTCTTATTTCTCCGACATGCAGGTTTTCTCACGAAGTTTTCCTTCATCGACGAGCACGTGGTAAATCATCATACAAATTGCAATTAATAATTTCATTGGTGCCGGCGGGGATCTAGCCCGGGTGGCTCGCGTACTGTGAAATTTACAGCGAGCGCTAACCATCTGAGCTACCACGACTTTAAAAACTTAACAATGGTTTATTCTTCTCACAGGGTGCGTAAGGAATAACTAGTTGAAATTATTGTATTGTATCTGCAATGGCTGCCAGCTCATCTTTCCAGTTCCAGTGTCTAGAATCTAGATGAATTCCCAAAAACTTCACGGAACTTACAGTTTGTATTGTTTCCCCATTTATATACACTTCTGTTATATCATTGTTTCTAGCGGTGATTTTGAACTTGATTGGTACAGAATGCCTCAAGGCATTAAGTCCGCTTTTGGTTTCTTATATATTAATAAGGAATGCAATAAAGAATAAATAAATAAATAATGATATTAGCTTTGGTTGGGTTTTACAATAAGCCATTTGCTGTGAAATTATGTCATAGGTATAATAATGTTGTCGTTTAATTCTTCAGCAGTTATTGTTGCATTTATATTATAGCAAACAACCATCCGTTTAAATTTAAGCAGTTATGCTACGGCCACACTACCTTACCGTCTACCGCTAATTTACGGCAATAATTATGGCATTAAATTACCGTCGAAATTATTGCGTTAAGGTTACACTAGAGTTTACCTAGATATGTCCATAAATTAGGCAGTAAGTAGTACTATAAATTTCATTTTTGTTCCCGCTCCTGACTGTAAGTTAAGTATTTATTTAGATGATTTCAGTAATAATTTATCAAAGATTATTTTTTCGTCTTCAAATCATCTTTTGTACTTGGAAATGACTTTATTTTTTCGATCCCATGCCAAGCATCATTTTATACATTGCCATTTTTATGGGCTTTCTGTATTTCAAAGTGATGGTTTGGATTGGAATAATTCCAAAAATGCAAGCGCTTTTTCATTCGAACATTCCATGTCGGTCGATACGTCCGTCGCCGTTGAACTCATGTTGCACACTGGAACTGGATAAACGGTAGTGTGGCCACAAACGCATTAATTACTGCGGTAATCTTCTTTGATGTACGAAAAAAGATCGCCGCCGGAGCTATTGTCTACCGCCATTTGCCATATTGATTGGCATTGTAAAATTATGACCATAAATCTTGGTTACACTTACACCTATTATAGGCGTTGTTGAAGTTATGGCAGTAATTATTGGCATATCATGGTAGTGTGGCCGTAGCATTACAATGCTAGATTAATATAGAATTAACATTTTCAATGACAATTTCAAATCCCAGAAAAGTTACAACATGAAAGTACTTAAATCAAAAACTGCACGAATTTATTTAAAAGCCATTTAAATTAATCTATAGAAGTATGATAAAGTAGAGCGTTCGTATTAGCATAGCAGTGTTAAGGTAAGACACTGGTGATTATGCAGTGCTCGTATTTTGAAGAGATATTTCTAAAGTAGCACAGTAAGCAGTAAAAAGAGGATGGCCGATTTAACTAGTCTTCGAGTCTTTTTCTGCCACAGAGTCCGTCTGGGCAGATTCTGCAGCCAAATAACAGTGCGTTCGCGTTAAAGGTAATTATAGAAAACCAGCATGATTACAGGCTGTGAGACATTTCTATGGACTCCAGTAACCACTTACCACCAGGCTGACTGATAAGATCGTTTGTCAGTTTTATAAAAAAAATATAAAAAAGTATAGGAAACTAATGTGATAACAACAAAAACAACATTCAACTTGTAGCATATATTTTTTATAAATTTCACTGTTTTTACAGACGAGGCAAACCAGTATGCGTCTCACCTGATGGTAAGTGAATACCGCCGCCAAAGAACAACTGCAACACCAGGTGCGTTGTGGGCCTTTTAGAAAGCTCTTTTCTTGAAGGCCCCAAACTCGTATCGGTCCGGAAAAATCATCGGTGGAAAACTATTACACACTGGTTGTGCGAGCAAGAAAATTACTAGCAAAACGCACAGTGGTTGACCATCGAGTATCCAGAGGGTGTGGATTGTATCTTGTGTTTTGTATTTAGCGCGAAATAGTTGCATACCATATGAAATCATTTAAATTTTTTTATCTAAAGCACTGTTTTAGATTTCCTTGCTCGTTGTTGACTTTAAAAAAGTAAGATTTTGTATGTTCAGCACGCGGAATGTGCATTATTTAAATGAACCTTGAATCATTAAATGTTATGGATCCAACAAATGATCTGATTGCTTATTATTAAAAATTACAGAACATGTCAATCTGTGATCTGTAGATTGTTTCAAGTACTTTATGTGTTGATTTTATGAACTAGATAGTTTCATTATTTCTACAAATCTTTGTGTGCACCAGGTGTTCTCCAAAAGCGAAGGCGATAGTACTCTGACAAAAACTAAATACTGTGACATCTCAACGCTCTTTAATATATTTTAATACAAATAAATATAGTTGTATTACTGTGTACTACGCTCGAAGAGATTTTTACGTGGTAAAGCCACGCTGCAGCTATGTTCTTATAGTCGGCTCGACCGGGGTAGCACCAAGTTCTCACAGAATACCAGCGTAAAATAGTAGCTTGATGCATCTGTGTTTTGTATGGTGAGTGTAGAGAACCAGAGACACTTTTTATTGGAAACGAAGCATTCACATTTTGAATTCATGACAACGCATATATGCATTTTAAATCTTAACCGAGGATATACGTAGATGTCTATGGACCTCAGCATCCACTTACTATCAGGTGGACTGTGTGCTCGCTTGTCACCTATATTCTATAAAAAAAGAAGTTGTCGAGGGGTATGTTTACCCAGGACAAATAGCCCGACTAGATAATACCAACTTGAACCGAGAGTTTTATCGATGGATTCAGCTCTCCTGAGCAGCATTCGGGAGATTACGACACATCATCTCGTTAGGTATACCTACCTCTAGACTTGAAAACAAGACATAAAATGGTGAATTTAAGTATATTTACGAAATTTTTATGTTATATTGAATGGGAATACTATTAATGCTGGACTTAGGTACTGCTTGATTAACTTCGCAAGGACCATAACTATCGCTACAGCGTTGCTCAACGGCGCACGGACTGCATATTCGGTATTCAAATTGCCACTTTTTCTACTTCACTTCCGTATTCAAATTTTTGCAACTCAGAAAAGCCAATGTGCAACATCAGCAAAAGACTTGCGGCAAAGCATGTTGATCGTGTGGGATGAATGCACTACGTCTACTACTACATTGGATAAAAAAAAGAAACCGTTTTAATCTACTCCGACCTTAAAATTATAATCGCAAAAAAACTAAAATACTAAGGTATTAAACATAATAATATATTACATTTATTTAGAAGAGGAACTTATTGTACACTTAAATAAATATGCTAATAAAATGAATGATTAATAAAAAATTAGACGTGATAGCCGGCGGATACTGTAATGGCCAGTGATGGGAGTACTGCCTATCTAGTCGCGTTTCTCAGCTCTTTTAAAACTCGATTTATAAAAAGGACTTTGTGCTCAGCTCCTTGGAGTCAACGGGCTTGCCTACGCATAAGTTGGTGTTCCAATTCTGCTGAGGCATAACATTGATGCACCAAAATTGTACAATGGCTCCAGGCTGTGCTTCACAGAGCTGGGGAGAAAGACTACTATATCGATTCTGACTGGAACAGTTTCGAATTTTAGACTGGATGAATTTGGATGGATTTTTTAGCAATAATTGGAATGCTTTAAAATAATTTACCATTTCAATTTTGAAGACTACAATTCCAGGTAAACATAGTATTTGCTATGAAAATTAATACGAGTAAGTCCCAGGGTCTGACTTTAAAAGTGGCGGCTATTTATTTATTCACACAGTACTTTTCGCACGATCAGCTGAATTTTGGCTGTTGGAGAGTATCAAGCGCTGGACGACCGTGCGGGTGGAAAATAATAAATTAAATAACGTGGGTACGGTGTACAGATCAATTTCTCTTTAGATCACCCCCTTTTACTTTTTTATAGAATAAAGATGACAAACGAACACACAGTACATTTATCCTCGATTAAGAATCAAAATGCAGATGCGTTGTCACCCCTGAATACTAGGATGGAATGCCTCTATTCCATCTTAAAGTTACTGTGAAACGGGTTTCCGGTTCTCTACACTCACCATACGAAACACAGCAGCATTAAGCCGCTATTTCACGCTGGTATTCTGTGAGAGCACTTTCCCGATCGAGCCGACCCATTCATGCTACAAGCATAATAGCTGCAGCGTGGCTCTAACACGTATAAAACTGCGGTATAGACAACTTCACATTGCGTCCTTACATCAGCCAGTTTTCCGCCCAGTTGTCATTTTACTCTTCTAAAACTAAAGCGATTCGTTGATGGGTTATTGATAAATAGGCAACCTAATATAGATATTAATATAACGATGTTTTATGTGTGATGTAGCAATTAGAACTTCACGCGAAAGAAAACGTAGTCGGAAGCTTTTTGAAATGATGACATTCAGTGGTGCGTTGGAGCAACAAAAATACTACTATACTCAACTAACGAAGGCGTATATAGTAATCTTTCGCTCACCAGATGTCGCCTGTTGACAATGAGGTGAATTTTTTTGTTAAACAATGTTGTTTAATTGGGAAGATAGTTTAAAATAAAAACTTTCTAGAGTATTATATTATTATTACACAAAACAATACCTCAATAATAATAATAATAATAATTTTTATTTTTCCCCACCAGACGGCTTGATGTCGGCAGGGTCCTCTCGGACTCGGCAAGCGGCATCCGCCGCTGGTGGAGTGCGCCGCATGCGTTGGACAAGGGATATGAACGCAAACGCAATGCGGGCGTACTATAGGGCGAAAGGGGAAGAAACTGCGGGGATAGCGTATCGGGCTCGGATGCATTGCTTTTTTGCTGAGCTGGAGCCGTCTATTCCCGTCACGGAACAAAACCTGGCAGACCGAGTTCGGTACATCATGCGCTCGAAAATATTCGATGATGCCGAGCTCGAACGACTACGACGTGAGGCCATTCCCTCATCGAATGAATTGGCTACGGCTGGGGATGAGGCTCCTCAGGCGACAGACCAGCTGCCACGAGTAGAAGCCGCCATGGATCTTCCAGTTGTGGGTGATTCAGACGATGATGAAATGGTCTCCCACGAACTAGAGCAAATGAGGAGTATATTGGAAGAGGCGATTTTAGAAACGCGCAGCATGCCTCTCGAAAATCGACCGCGACTTCCCCCGCATACCCCTAAGCAAGCGAAATCGGGCTGTCGTGAGGGCTCTTAACCCAATGCTGGTAACCTATTTGGAAGCCAGCCGGGACCTTTGCGAGACGGACTCAGTTCTTTTTGGCGCCGCAGTGGCAGCTTGCCGTATTATTGGCGCCAAACTTCCCATGGCTGGACGCGCTACTAAACAAAGTAGCGCCATCCCAGCCTGGAGAAAAAGAATTGAGGACCGTATCGCAAAGGCAAGGGCCCTTATCGGCAGACTGATAAGCTTCAGGTCGGGTAATAATAGACCGAGGGTTGTGCGCACCGTTAGAATGGCGTTTGCTGGGACAAATATCAGTTTGTCCCAGCCGGATATCACGCAGAAACTAACGGAGCGCATAGACGACCTGAAGCAAAAGATTGCCGCTTGGGGGAAGCGGATTCGCCGATTTACCGAGAGGTCAAGGCGGTTCAACCAGAATCGTCTCTTCCAGAGTGATCAGAAGAGGCTCTACAAATCATTGGAGCGACCAGAGGTATGTGGAGCGGGCCCAGGACCGGATCAGGCTAACACTGTCGCATTTTGGCGTGGCCTGTGGTCAGAGCCCGTAAACCACAGCGAGGGCCCTTGGACGGAAGTTGTGGCGAGTCAGTGTGCGAGTATTACGCCCATGGACCCCGTCATCATAACGCCGGATGACGTAGCTGAGGCGGTCCGTAGAGCCCCGAACTGGAAAAGTCCGGGACTCGACGGACTGCATCACTACTGGCTGAAGGGGTTCATGGTGTGTCACGCTGTGCTCGCCCGTCAGTTTCAAGAGGCTCTCAACCAGAAGTCGCTCCCTAGCCTCTTCACTACTGGGATCACTCATTTGGTTCCTAAAGACCAGGTTACCACAGACCCGAGCAAATACCGCCCCATTACGTGTCTACCCACCATATATAAGACACTGACATCCATTTTGAGCGCGAGAATCACTCGTCACCTGGAGCTAAATCAGGTGATGTCACGCGCTCAAAATGGATGTCGGGGCGGTGGTCGTGGAACTAAGGAACCACTCCTCATTGACGCGGTCATTGGCAAAGTGGTGAAACGCAACCGTCGGAACTTCTCCGCCGCCTGGATAGACTACAGAAAGGCATTCGACTCGGTGCCCCATACATGGCTAAAGAGAGTCCTCGAGCTGTACAAGATAGACTGTACAGTGAGAGACTTCCTCGAGCAGTGTATGGGGCAGTGGAGTACGATCCTTTGTCATCTGGGTGAGCGGATGATGGCTGCGGAGAACCACATAAGGATAAGAAGGGGTATCTTCCAGGGCGATTGTCTGAGTCCAATCTGGTTCTGCCTCTCCCTGAACCCTCTCAGTACCTTACTGGAGGGATCCGGGAGAGGATTTCAGCTACGGAAAGGAGGGACAAAAGTGACCCACCTTTTTTTATATGGATGACCTCAAGTTATTCGCCTCCAGTCGCTCCCATCTTGTGGAATTGCTAAAAATCACTTGTGAGTTTAGCAGTTCCATTGGAATGGAGCTGGGGACGGATAAGTGTGCGGTCCTCCATGTTGAGAGGGGAAGGGTTGCTAACTCTGAGGGCATAGATTTATCTATGCCCGTCAACTTAAGGACCCTTTCCGAGGCTGAAACATACCGATACCTGGGTATGTCACAGAACATCGGTATCGATGAGGCTGGTGTGAAACAGTCAGTTTGCGACGTGTTTTATGCACGCTTGACCAAAGTGCTTAATAGCCTTTTGTCCGGTGTGAATAAGACACACGCATATAACGGTTGGGTCATGCCTGTCCTTATGTATACCTTTGGCATACTCAGGTGGACTCAGACTGAACTTAACGCCCTGGATAGAAAAGTCCGCACTACCATGACGTCCCATAGGATGCATCATCCGAGATCGTCGGTAATGAGGCTGTACTTGCCGCGAAAGCATGGTGGGCGTGGCTTTCTAAGCGCGCTCACTATGCATAATCGTGAGATCGGATGATCCATTCTATAATGACGTCATTTCTAGTGATAAAGGGCTTACCCCTCTATCCTTGGCCAACGAGCAATGGCAGGACCCAGCAGTGCTTAGCATTTCCGACCGGGAGACCGTATGGAAGGAGAAGGAGCTCCACGGGAGGTACTACAGGGTTCTACATGAGCCCTTCGTAGATACAGTCGCCTCCCTCAACTGGCTACGTTTCGGTGACCTCTTCGGGGAAACCGAGGGTTTTGTCTGTGCAATACAGGATCAGGTTATTAAGACCAACAACTATCGGAGATACATCCTAAAGGATGGCACCGTCGACGTCTGTCGAGCTTGTCGCCATCCCGGGGAGTCACTTAGACATGTCATCTCCGGTTGTTCGGCGCTTTCTAACTCTGAGTACTTGCACAGGCACAACCTAGTAGCCAGAATTCTACACCAGGCGCTCGCTCTGAAATACGGTCTCGTGGACCGGAAATTGCCGTATTACAAGTACTTGCCGGAAGCCGTGCTCGAAAATGACCGCGCCAGGCTCTACTTGGACCGGGCCATCATCACAGACAGGACTATTCTTGCAAATAAGCCTGATATTGTGCTGATGGACCGGGCACAGTCAAGGATATTTTTGGTCGACATTACCATTCCGTATGACGAGAACCTCGTGAAAGCCGAAACAGATAAGCAAACAAAATATCTGGACCTGGCTCACGAGGTGACCGACATGTGGGGTGGTCTGCCGACCGAAATTATTCCTGTAGTCGTCTCTGCAAACGGGCTAATCCCAGTCAGCCTCTCGGGTCATCTGAGGCGACTGGGACTCCGTGACGGACCGCTCCGGGCTCAAATGCAGAAGGCAGTGGTCCTCGATACCGCCCGCATCGTCCGTCGGTTTCTTTCCCTTTCCCCCTAACCCTCGGCCGTTTGGTCTCCCCTGCCGAGGGCTTCCATCTGGTTGGATCTTTATTTATTTGTGTATTTTTTGTATTTATTTTATTTTATTGATATTTATGTATATTTATCTTTTCATTTTAATTTATAATTATATATTTATAGAAACCAAACAGATGAGAAAACTATACAGATACCCCAAAAATAATTTTTATTTTAGATATCCAAATAATCCATATAATATGTTAGTAAATAGTTTGCTCAAAGGTTTGCTCTTTAATTTTCTGCTCATTTTAAACTCTTTTTTTCTACTTTTTTGAATATTCTGTGGTTTGGTTTATTTATTTTTAATGTAATTATATATATTATAACTAATAGTAAAGAAGAAATATTAACCTTTATATTTTTCGAACAAATTAACTTCCCCGCTATGAAATTCGTCAAATATTACACCTCATTTTAAGTGACGCCGCCCTGGTGGCATAAAAAGTCATGCATGCCCTCATTGGCATGAAGCTGTAAGACTCGCATAGACTAACAGCAAAAACATCTCGAAAATAGTCATTGGCAGAAGTCGCAGACTAGAGATATACTTATTATAATAAGGGTGAAAATGAGTATTGATTTTATAAAATTATGTTTTCCGACCACCACGCCGGTGGAGCTGCAGGAAGAAAGTTGTATCTACTTATAAATGTGAAATATAATCGTAATCGGGTTGATATGACGTGAAACAAAATATTGACAATTTTGACATTTACCCGAAGATTTATATACCTACACTATTTTAAGCAGATATTTAAATCCTAAGTTAGTCATAATTCTATAAATAAGTCACCAAACACTAACCCACTTAGACATATACGACACTTGTTATAATTTTTCTACGCGAAATGACAAATAACATATATAATATATATTGTTATTCCTTAATAAGTTCCATTTAAAGCGACCTCAAACGGTGTCCATAGAACTTATATGGAATCAACAAAAGAGGCATATGATAATATTGACTGACTGATAGGAGTACCGTTATCGCAAAAATTCAGACGAATAAAGCATACGAACTGTACTTGACTAGGCCGTTCCGACTTATCATCTAGATGTTAATTATTACCGTTCGCTCTCTTTATCGTGCTCATTTCTGGTCGCGATAAGATTACGGCAGTCATATGGCGTTCTGCAGTGCCACTTTAGAAACGAATCGTACCTAATTGTTGTGGCATGTGAACAGGATTGTTGTTAATTGATGATATTTTATGTGAATTAGAACATAAGTGATGGTGAATACAAGTGTTGTGTCGTTGTTTCGAAATGAGAGACTATCGTTCAATATCAGTCATGCATAACATGAGACCGTTGGAGTTCATTTCGAGGTCAGGTGAGCCGCATCGAAGTCGGTCATCGTCTTGGTCATCGTGGAGACGGCAGAATAATTCTCAACGATCGGAACCCAGATTCTCTTTGCAGTATCAGGTAATTTAATTAATAAATAAACTGTAAATATTTTTTTTAGGTCTGTATTTTTATATAAAGTTTATTACTTAATATTCATATAGGCTGCAGTTATGAATAGTATATGACTAGGTATTTGTTATAATAGTAAAATTTAGTCGTTTAGTTGTTTACGATGAATAACAATGTAATAAGAACTGGAACTGGAATGAGATGAACACATAATAGGTATACTATTATGATATCGCATAATAAAGGATGATAGGCCGATATTCTTTATATTTGTACTAACATACATAAGTAGTGCAGAATATATTTTGTTTAATGCACAAAATTTTCATTACTTTCACGAAAATTATATAAATAAACACATAAGTAATTGTTTTAACAGCCTCAATAAAAATATACAATGATGATGTTGATAAATTAAAAAATACTTTATTTAGAATCTTGCGTAAAGCGGAATGCAATGCGTAAAAATGTACGACAAAGACTGTCAAACTGTCACTTGATTTGTCACTCAAGGCGCAGTGGATAGTTTTCATGAATTACTTTTTTATTTGTTTCCGTGATAAACAAAATTCGTATGTTTCTAGTGTTTAGATTTTTTGTAACAGCACACAATCAGTGCTCTTTTCTGATGTTATCACCGTGTAGAACAAGTTTTAAGGTGTCGCTGAAACGATTTTTCTAGCTAACGTGTCATTGCTTTAAGTTATTCCAACCGATGTAATACGAAAAAGTGTCCAAATTGTTCATAATTGCGTTTAAAATTCGTTTATTTTCACATGGGTGATGGCTTGGCAATCGGATACACGTGTAAGTATCAAAATGATAGTTCAATTTGGAAGCGAAAAACGAAACTTTTATTATAGTTCATCTATGTAAATATGTCCTTGTAATTGATTATTTATACGGATATTCCTTCCTAGGTGTACGGTATTATAGGTGATTTCTTTGTAGATGATTATGCTACTGAAATGTTCTAAATGCTTGTTTGCTTTTGTAAGAACTTAGGTAAAATCAATTTTTAAATTGCCGGAAATAAGTTGAGATTATTTTATGACCTACACATAGTTTTGTGTGTGTATACTTCTAACAATATACTTCAAAAATATCTAACTATCTAAAAGAAATGTTTACAGTAATGAAAAGTGAAATTACCATATGGTTGCAGCTCCTTGTAGAACATTAGGCATTTTATATAACTTCCTATATAAGTTAGTTTGCAATGAGTTTTCTTTTGCAATTCCATATCTATGTGTGTATACTATATGGACTCAAACACTAAAGTGCTTACTTCAGCTTTATGTTTTCCCATGACCTTTTATGGGAAAAAACCAAGGATTGGTTGAAATGTCAGACAATGGAGAGATCATAACATATTTAGTACTTAATATTTTGTTTTGTTATCCTCAACATATTAGGCTAGTTAATAATCTGATTACCAGATATTTGGTCATGGGGTTCTCAGTTGAAATACCAAAATATGTTGTGTTTCAGTGATGTCTTAGTAATTGCTAGGGTGAAAATTGGCAGCGGTCACCGAATGGTGGTTGAACGGTGAACGGTTAAGTTGGGGAGTTTATGCCTAATGAAGTCAAAGCTCCATCTTCCTTTTGCTCTAATTCAAAGTCCTGAAAACCTTTAGCTAGAGTTTTTTGTGCCTAGAAAACTGCAATGCAGTGGACAATATGAATGACTTGCGGAAACTGTTCATGTAGTTGGAGCTAAGTTCTCCAGATCATAGTCTTAATATCATGGCTGTTAGATGGAAAATGAAGCTGCAGTCTTTAGCAGATATGACAGCATACAGGTAACTGAACAGACAGGTCTCCAAATGCATGTGAAGTGACTTATGTAAGTTCAATACAGCTCGTATTAAAAAAGCGATCGAGCAGAACCAAGGCTCCAAAGTCTTTGCCAGAGATCTGTCTGCCGGAAATTGTAAAAGCTGAAGACCGAATATGGCCACATTCTTTCCGAGACAACTGAGATTTTGATTGAGATTGAGAGGTTCTATGAGCATGTCATTGTTGGAGCCACACATAAGTGTGAGAAACTAACCAAGAGCAAGTCTTATCCGATACTATTCCAATGATATCCTAAACATTAGCCTGAGCGAAATTAGAATGACTTACCATCACCTTTAAAATGGCAAGAACCCAGGTGAAGCCAGAATTACAGTGCAGCTTTTGAAAGCAGGTGGAAAACCAGTCCTTAAAGTCCTTCAGAAGCTCTTTTATTCCATCATCCATTGGCATTACTCCATAGGTGTGGAGCGGAAGTGCAGTGGTCATGTTCTTCAAGAAAGGCAGCAAGACTCTCTTGAAGAACTACAGACCGATTTCTCTTCTGAGCCGTGTTCAAGTGCTGTTTTTGAGAGTCATTCCGAATTATTATGAGATTTGACAACCCGAATGTCTTTCGAACACCCCTCGTCAAATTGTACACATGACCAAAGAGTACAATCTGCCACTGCATTACATAAGTGGACTATAAGAAAGCCTTTGACTCCGTCGAAATTTGGATGGTGCTACAGGATTATGATGGCTATCCGAGGACAGAACCATAGTACGAAATCCATTAAACTGCAGAGAGGTGTAAGACTGGGTGATGCAATTTCCCCGAAACTCTTCACTTCCACTCTTGATAGGATATGGTATTAACATCAATGGCGAGTATGTCACTCACCTCCGATTTGCCAATGACATACTCCTTTTGGCAAAATCATTGGAAGACCTAAGCACTATGCTCAGTGACCTCAATAGTGTCTCCCAACGGATAGATGTGTAACGTCCATGTCACACCTATGGCGGTAGATGTTGGGAGCACTAAGCATGATGTTGACAAGTATGTTTACTTGGGACAAATAGTCCGACTAGGTAAGTCCAACTTCGACCGAGAGGTCATTCGACGGATTCAACTCGGCTGGACAGCGTTTGGATCTCCCAAATGCTGTCCAGCTATGGAGAGAGCTATGGAGAGGGCTATGCTCAGGGTTTCTTTGCGTGATAGACTTAAAAACGAGGATAACCGCATTAGAATGTTTGGGCTATGTCAGTTACTGATACTATAATTGCTGAAAATCTGAAAATCTTTTGCCACTTTTCATTTCTACTTCAGCAAATATTATTTACACATTTTGAAATCTATGAATCTTTTTATATGTGCAATACATTGTTGTGCTGGTGACTAATACAACGGCCAAATAACTAATGAGTAGTTGAATAAAACAATAATTGAAATGGTTTGTCAAAGAAGTAAAAATGTACGTAATCTTTGTGTGACCAATTGAAACTATTCTCAAAAATTTTTTTGACGCTGTGGCCCATAGACATCTACATTTATCCTTGATTAAGAATCAAAATGCAGATTCTTTGTCACCCCTGAGGACTTAGATGGAATATTTTGTATCCAGTAAAAAGGCCTCCAGTGCTCTACACTCACCATACGAAACAGCAGCATTAGGCTGCTATTTTATGCAGGTATTCTGTGAGAGTGTAGTCCAACCCCGGTCGAGCCAAACCCATTCATACCACAGCCATAATATAGCTGCAGCATGGCTTAACCACGTTGTCACATCATACATGAAATAAAACTAGAAGTGAATTATTTAGTAATAAAATTTGTTATGAAATACTTTACTCATACAACAGGCACTTGGTCATCGGACTCATAATAACTTACCTTATAATGTTATTTAGCATAATTTTGTAACATATTACTTAGTAGTAGTAGTACTTCATACATTAAAGTCAATTAGCATTTCTTGTTACTTAAACAACCCTACTTTAAATATTATTAAGGTCACATTGCTGTGATATCACAAAATAATTATTGGATTTTAATGATTAAAATTCATGTGTTCATATTTTTCTTCACAATCAAATTGATTAAAGAGAGTTTATAATCATACTTGGGATCCGTCTCGGCTTCGCACAGGTGATATCTGGATCTCGACAACAGCGCCACCTACGGAACCCAATTGTGGGTCTTAACCATCCAGGAATCTACTGAAAAACACACACATAAAATTTTGGTTTCGGTTCAGTGGTTTAGGATTTCAGTGATGAATACATGTAAAGATGAATTATATTTATAAATATTAGATAGATAATAATAAATAGTGCATTAAAGATAATAACAGAGTAAGTTATATTTTCCTAATGCTTAGTTACTACATTCTAAAGACTTGATACAATGTCAAAGGTCATAAAAAATGTAAATATGATTAACTAAGATAGAAACCATATTATTTGTGTATTACCTAGTGTGAATAAGATTCCAAGGAAAAATTACAGTAGTTACAGTGTGTCCCAAAAGTCTGAGTTTAGGTTTGCGAATAGTGCCATGATGTTACACATTGTTGAAGTTAGCCAGATTTAACATTGATTTCATTCATTTTTTGATTAGCTTTAATAACAGTAAATTAACTTGGTCGACAGTGCTGAGCAGACAGGCACAGGATTGGTGGATTGGTGAGAGTGAATTAGTCATTGCCAAATTTTCTGCACACGTCTTATTAAAATACACCTTGACCTCTGCCGGAAATACAACTTAAAGACTTCAGCTACTTGCTGTGTCCATCTCATATTTTTTCCGCAATCTATTAGAGCAGGGGTAGCAAACTTTTGTCGCAATCAACTTGTTCTCATAGGTGTAATCGAAGTGGGAAGATGGATATGTGAAATTACATACTATGTTTATACACTGTGTTTGCACCTTAAAAAGGGTCCTAAATTTGTACTCTATGCGGTTTAATCCATTTCTAAGTTAACAAATTAACCAAGTAAGAGATCAACTAAAATTGCTTTCCACTTGTTGGATATCTCTGCATAAGTCTGTATAAGAGAATATTTTTTCACACTGATACTACTATTACATACAACCATACATGTGGTGAACAGTACCTAGTAACGATGTAGAGCCGCCCTGTTTCTGTATATCTGTAACATAAATGGTTCGACGTGGCAGGGCAACGACCATGCTGTTGCTAAGTCATGTCCAACTAAAAAATGTGCTAACTGCGTTACTTGTTTTGTATGTCGCAATAAGCGACTATAATTCTATTATTTTTTAATAGTTTTCATTCTTGTGGTGTCACCACAATAACTAATAGGTTATTGGGCTTGTGATTGTGTAGGCGATTAGCTAGCCACCTATCACTACTTTCATAATTTTACATCTAAACTCATCGAGCCACCTGCATCTATCGACTTCCTGCATCTCTTATCAGGTCGTCACTTTATCTAGTGGGGGTCATCCTACACTTCGCTTACGAGTACCAGCTGTCGCTTGAGTACCTTTCTTTCTCGTGGGTTGATGGTTCTTCGAGCTATATCGCTTGCCTAAAGTTAGTACTTTAACCTACTCGTACTGATCCATTGGGCTTTATCTGTTACTCTGGCTATACTGTGAATATCCTCTTACTAAATCACAGCATATTGTAATAGTAATATTATGCTGCTATGTTTCCCATGTTTAATGAGGATAAACTTTTACAGCTGGTTTTGAATTTTGTCATAGTCCTTAAGAATGTTAACACACCTACCTGTATTGTGTTTGGACGTGAGTGCTTTTGAATATACTCTTAACTTTTGAATAGCGTTACTGATTTCAACGAATTCGGTGGCGTTCGAAAGGGCTTCACCAAACTTAGATTTTCTATAGCATTTGAAACGATTCGAACCAATAGATTTTAAGAAATCTCAAAAAAAATTATTTTGGAATAACATTTAGACAGATGCAACAATCGATTCTAAAATCAAATCAGCTCTTGAACTCAAAAAACGCCGTCGATCGCTGCAAACTGCATCAAAATCGGTTGATGCGTGCGTTGAAGAGAAATCGTTAACGAAAAATTTTGAAAAAAGTATTTTTTTTTTTCAAATTACTTTGAAAGAAAGAAATTATGAGTGCTTAAAAACTGCGTCGAATACCGCCAAGTTCGTCAAAATAGGTTGATTGGTTCATGAAATATTCAATATTGAAGAAAAAATAAAACGTGGCATTTGGAGCCATTTGAAATTAGTGGAAAGTTCCAGGGATGGCTAGTAATGTAACTTCAACATAGTCCTCCAGATGGTATGTGGATACTTTATCGTATTAATTTACTACGTGGTAGATCTACGCTAGGGTTATAATATGGTTTTAGCTAGAATGGGTCGGCTCGACCGGAGAGGACCACGCTCTCACAGAGTACCAGCGTAAAATAGCAGCTTAATGCTGCTACGAAACACGTATGTTGAGTGTATAGAACCGGATACTCTTTTTACTAGAAACAAGGCATTCCATCGTTGTCCTCGGGGTCCACAATGCGCATTTTGATTCTTAATCGAAGATACATGTAGATGTCTTTGGGCCACAGTATCCACTTACCAACAGAAGGACTGTGTGCTCGTTTGTCTCTGCCATTCTATAAAAAGTAACTACTTTTAACAATTTTGTTGAAATTGTATAGGCGTACAAGTAAACCGCAAGGTTTTGGATCAGTGTTCTTTCTGGCCTTAGTTGCCCGACACATCCACGGGACGAAATAGAGTGATTTTTTTATATAATAAGGGTGACAAACGAGTGGACAGTCCATCTATCTGATGGTTAAGTTTATGATGCCACAACCATAATATAGCTGCAGCATGGCTCTTATACGTTGAAATGATATCTCCTACGTCGCCAACACACGGCACAAAAAGAAAGAAAGAAATTATATCACGCGAGTTTCAAGAAGACGACTAATTTATAGAAGTAAGGCAAACGAGTACACAGTCCACCTGATGGTAAGTGAATACTGTGGCACACAGAACTTACCTTTAACTTTGAAAAATTAAATTACAGGCGTGTTGTGTCACCCTGGAGGACTTAGATGAATGTCTCGCTACCAGATAGATATAGAGGATCTCCGGTAATTGTTTCAGCACGATACGAAACACAGCAACATTATACTGCTATTTTACATTGGTATTCTGTGACGGTCTCAACCATTCATGTTGCAGTTTGTAATAATAGTTTACTTATATTAAAATAGATGTAAAAATATTTTATCAATCTTTTCAGGCGGACGAGAACAACCATATTCTGCTTCGCCTGAAGATAATCGGAGCATATTCATTGGCCAAAAAAGACATATTTGGTGCCAGGTAAGGTTTGGTAAATTGCAGGTTATTTTTTATTTATTGACGTACACACGCCTGAACGCGTTCTACGTGCGTGTCACGCAATATACAGGTTGTTCTGTTAATTGTGGTGAAATATGGCGAGACATTAGATCGTGCCCTTTGAGTATTCAACCAACTCAAAGATCGTACCCTATGAGAACAGCCAAATTTTTAAAAATAAAACTTACAGTTTTCAAGACTTTCTGATTATCATGATTTTATTGAAAATGTTTATCACTTTAATACGTGTAATTTATGCCATTCTATTGAAATAGCGAAAACGTTTAATATTATTTCTGACATATGTTACTGAATGTTTATTGCAGTTTCCCAATAACATGAACAATTTCTTTAGAAAAAACAGGTATTAAAGTTGCAAATTTCTACGAGACGAAAATTTTCGTCCAAGTTTAAAATACGGTGGTGTTAAAAACTACTATATCCTACTACTATGACCTTTGGTTTGAAAAATAGTGCAATGAATAAAGATTAAAAAACAATAAAACCAGTTTTTTTTTAAATAAAACAAAAAAGTTATTGCTATTTCATTGCTGAAGGGCCTAATTGTTCGATAAAAGTTTTTTAGTTTTATTTTACAGAACAGCTCAAAATATTTTAAAAATTAGAGATTGTAGCCAAAATTAGAGAGGTGGTAACAAAACGGGCAACAAAACAGGTTTTCAAGTTAATCAATTTTATCCGCCTGCTATGTTAAACAATTTTTATTTTTGTCAGTGAACGACTAATATTTTTATCTATAAATGTCACTGAGGTACTCATGTTGTCTTTGATATTGCTACCTGAGCCCATCCTTGAATGAATGCCGCGCCTGAGCGAGATTACAAGTAAGCTCGGAACTTGGCTAGGAGGGAGTAAAAGAGACAGATAATCCAGTCCTTGAAATGTTCTATTTCTTGTGTCGTTTCCTATTTGTTACTACTATTAACAAGACACCCTATATATAAAACGAAAACTAAAAAAATCAAGATGTAACAAAATAAAAACAAAAAAAACATATACAATTAAACAGTAACAATTATGCCGATACCGTGAGGCAACGGGAGACAGAGAACATGCATTTGTTCGAGTATGGTCTGAATCTTCATTAATATTTATATAAAATTCAAAGCAATCTTATTTTAAATTTATAATAGAATAATTATGTTATTGTCCGATTAAACTAGTTTGTAAAGATGTGTGAGATCATCAACGTTATTGCCTTCACTATTGAACTTTTTTATTGTTTACATATTGTAAAGAATGCAATAAAGTTAATCGTCATCATGGCCGCTGTCAGTCTGTAAACACATTTTGTTCATTGCGAGACGAATTCCCCAATTCGTTTTTAGGAAATTGACCGTAGTCGTTTCTCGGCAGCGGCAGAAAGTTTATACATTTTCATTATCATTACCGCCCTTCACAAGTCAAGGAATGCCACAAAGCACGGTCCTCAGAATCCATCTAGGTAGGTCGCCTTATACTTCATCTGCCGGTACGAAGCTGCCACTCGAAAACCTTTTCTCCCAATCGGATGACGGTTCTTTGAGATATATGGCCGGCATATTTCCGCATCGACTTACTAATCCGTTGGGCTATGTTTTTCACTCTAGTTCTTCCGCAGATATCCTCTTTTATACGTTCTCTATGTTTATCACGCAGAGAAACCCGGAGCATAGCCCTTTCCATAGCTCGCTGAGCGACCTTGAGCTACCTCATACGGCCAGCAGTGAAGGATCACGTTTCATATCCATAAGTCATCACTGGCAACACGCACTGGTTGTCATCAACATCCTCGATTTCGAGTTGGATTGGTTTTGTACTCGGATAGTCATCGTAGCCCTACTGTATAAACACTTCAGAACCTCCGATTTACCGACAGTCAACGTGGCACCACTGAAGGGATTGCAGCACCGCCCAAATTTCGACGAAATCAATGGCTTTCTCATAGTCCACATACGCAAAACATTGTGGCATCGGTCTTCTGTACAATTTGCCAAAGAACTTGTATGTGGTCTATGGTACTAAAGCCTTTTCGGAAGCCGGCTTGTTCGAGTGGCTGAAACTCGCCGAGTATGCGTGCGAGACGATTCGTAATGACTCAAAAACGTCGAAAAATCGGTTTGTAGTTCTTCAATTGAGTGTTGCCTTTCTTGAAGAACAAGACCACCACACTTCTGCTTCACGCCTCCGGAGTAATGCCGCCGAATGCCTCGGAATTAAAGGGCTTCGAAAGGATTTTCCACCAGCTTCCAGATGCTCAGCTGTAATTCTATCCTCGAACGGGGTCTTGCCGTTTTAAAGGTGATGGAGACCCATTTTAATCTCGCCCAGACTGACGTCTGGAATATCATCCTAATTAATAGTGTTGCATAAGACTTTCTCTCGAATCGTTACTCACACTTGCGTGTGGCTCCAACGATGATGTGTACAGCTGCCCATAGAACCTCTCGATTTCATTCAAAATCTCAGGTGTCCCAATACATTTTATTGCATATAAGTTACTAATAAAAATCATACTACGCGAAAGATCGGTCGGTACGTCGGCGGACCCGTTATTAGTCATTTATATGCAAAAAATGTATTAGAGTTCCGCCGCGAAGGGATCAGCGACAGAATTTTCGTTCAGTGTGGCGTAGGCCTTAGTATATGGATTGTGCAGCGGTGTTGGAATACATGGCGCTTATGTGTCTATTCTTATTTAAGTATTATAAGCCATCTTACTATTCCTTTTAATAATCCTATACCTTTAAACGAGCAATTCTTGTATATATAGTTGTGGTCACATAATTAATAACGATTTGAACTTCTAGAAGTTTTTTTATTTAAATCATGTCGTACATAGAGATGTGCACCTTCTGAGAAGCAACTAGTTATGTTATAAAATAGCCACATTAATAGAGCAACATGGCTTAGGAATAAAGAATAAAATCGCTGACATTTTTTTACATTTTATTTATTTTACCAAAGTAACTCGTTCAAATAATACTGAAACTGGACAAATAATTAAGAACGATTTATTAAACTGCTCGGAAATTTTTTTGTATGACACATTTAAAAAATCACAATAATATGTAGCGCGGCAAATTTAAAAACCAATTTAATACATTTTTAACTAAAATTAATAGTCAATAGCATATCCACGGCTTTTAATTACAGCTTTACACCGGCGAGGCATTGACTCTATTAATTTTTGACATTTCGCAAGAGAAATAGAATTCCATTCTTCTAAAAAAACCTCATACAGCTCTCTTAAATTCCGATACTGTGTATTTGAAACTTTTTTCTTTACATAGAAACCACAGATTATCTATTGGGCTTTGATCTGGCCAGTCTAAGACAGAAACTGATTGCACTGTAAGAAATTCCTTTACGGTGCGTGCAGTGTGCATTAGATCATTGTCATGCTGAAACGCCCAAATAACCGGTAGAACGTCTTCAGTGTAAGGTAACACTGTTTCTTACAGTATATTTTTGTATTGGAACTGATCCATGTTACCTTCTATCAACTTTACAGGTCCAACACTATGTCCAGAAAAGCAACCCCAGATTTTCACATTTCCAATACCGTGCTTTAATGTAACTGTCGTGAACTTAGGGTTGAATGCTGTGTTCGGGGGACGTCGTTCGTATCGTTTTCCATCAGAATATACTCTGTTTAATTTCGTCTCTTCAGAAAAAAGTACATTTTCCCACTGTCGCACAGTCCAGTTTCCATACTTTCTCGCAAATGCAAACCGGGCTTGCCTGTGGCAAAGTTTCAACATGGGTACCTTTCTTGCTACCCTACCGTGCAATTTTTCTTCTACCAAACGTCTTCGAATAGTGCGTGCTGAGATTGCTGAAGGGTTGTTTTCACCAAAATATTCTTTTCTCAGCTCATTGGACCCTTTGAAAGGATTTTGTTTTTTTGGTTTTGCAATACGAACGATGTTTCGATTATCTCGAGGAGTTGTTTTTCTCTGTTTAGGTACACGTGGAACATTCGAAGTAATTTGATACGTAGCAAAATGCTTTACAGCGTGGAAAACCATCGTTTTTGAACATTGCAGGTGGTCGGTTACCTTTTTATAAGACCAATTCTTCCGGCGAAGTTTTATTATTCCTTCCCTTGTAGATTTATAACAACTTTTATTTTTCCCATTATTATTTCCTAAGAAGCAATCACTTTCAAGCTTTTACAGCACTAAATGGCAAAAAAAAAAAAATTAACATTTCTCTATTTAATTTAATAAAGGTATAAATTATTTAACGTTCTTAATTACGTGAACAGCCAGTAAATAGAAACACTATGTTTAGAAGTGGTGTAAAAAGTTTGTCTATTTATTTTTAGCTAATCATGTGTATCAATAAATACAGTGGTATTAAGGAAAAGTTTTACGATACCGAGAGAAATAAAAAAAAATTGCATGCAATTAGTTTTGTGTTTTAGTTTGAAAAAAATCTTCCCCTTATATCAGCGTTCTTAATTATATGACCACAACTATAGATTATATATATAATCGGAATCTTGGAAACGTCTCCAACGATTTTCATAAAATTTAGTGTCCAAGGGGTTTTGGGGGCAATAAATCGATCTAGCTGGGATTCATTTTTAGAAAATGTCGTTTTGTGCGTGTTTTCAGGCAATGAAAAACTGATACAATATAAGAAGGTAAATTTTGACATTATATTAATGATCGTAATAGCTCAAGTGGATATCGGGCCGTCGCGACATCATAATGCCCTGGTTCGCGTCCTGTCTTCAGTCCGACTTTTTTTCCTTTTTTTTTTCAAGTTCCCTTCTTTTGTGAGAAAATCTATTATTTCGAGCCCTTTTTTAGTATTTTTTTAAAATACGAAAATTTAAATTAAACTAATTGCACTCACGATTTTTATTCAAATAACCAGTTCAGTTTTTTCTATTATGTCAATAAGATCAAAAATATTATTCATGTTTCATCAGTATGTAATTTATATCTAAATATAATTTCCAAAAAAAAAAA